ATGAGTACTCAGAAAATAAAACAAAATATATAAATCTTCAAGAGATTAACTAATCGTACTCATTATATAATCAACATACATATTTATTTATATTATATACATATTAAAGATTATCCCTCTCACTCGGAAGAATATAGATTAAAAAGAATGTCAGATGAAAGACCTGAAAAATCTATTAAGGATCGTTAGAAGAACCTACAATAAATATATAAAATATACTCAAAAGCAACTCAAAACAATACAAATAAAAGATTTCAATGCATAAAATAAAATAAGGTTTAATCTCTTAGGTTTAGGGACTAAAACGACAATTGTCCAAAACAGAGACCAAAATGTAATTTTATCAAAACTAGACCAAACTATAAATACATAACCATACTGAAATTTCACCTATAAACCATACTCAATTCTGTCTAGAATGAACCAGGGACTGAACTATGATTTTTATAAAGTTTAGGGACTAAAATGTAAATTCCTAAAATTGAGGGACCAAATTAAAAATATTCCAAATCAATTATCAAACTGAAATTCATCATACTTAACCTCATAATAACACTATTCAAAATCTCAAAATACATTGAGGGCTCAAATTATAATTTTTCCAAAGTTTAGGGACTAAACTAAAATTTTCATAAAATAAGGACCAAAATAAAATTTGATCATCTTCAACCTCAAGACCATTCTGTCCAGATTTTCCAGCAAAGTTAAAATGAATTTCTTAACCTATAAAAATTTATTTAAATAAATCAACTCACAAATCCTTATTTCTTATAACATATTAATTAATCACCTAACATTAAACTTTTAATCATAAATCAATCTTAACAACATAAACTTCTAATTCTTATAAATCGTAATCTCATCTTTAATTATTCCATAAACAAACTATAATCAAAAGTAATATGAAAGAGAACCACTTATTTGTTACTTTCACCTTTCTTGAATCAAAAACTGAATATCAAAAACTAAAATATTTGGTTTGAGAAGAGGAGGGTCATGGTGGCTATAAGAATTAGAGAAAAATAAATAAATTCTATTGCAACTCTTTCTTAAATACCTAGGTTAACTTAAGTTAGGTTTACGCTGACTTGAATTTAGGTTTGAGCTAAAACTTTGAGTCTACAATTTTATTCACTATTCATGAAACTGAATGTAAGGGTATTTATTTATAGTCACCCAAATACATTTTAATTCACTATCCATAAAAATAGATGTTATCATTTTAATTTTTTAATTAATAGAATGATTAATAATTAAAAAAATTAATAAGGAGAATATTAATTATAATTATAAAAAATAAATAAAAAAACACTAAAGGATATCAAACTCGGCTGATAGCTCAAAAAGTCAAATATTCTTGGGCTTGAAAACTTATATATACATATTTAAATAAATTTTTTTCTTTTTATTTTTTTGCATGTCACTAGTTATTTTTTTAAAAAAAAAGTATAGATCATATGTTGTTTTAAAACCCATTTTTAGATCTAAAAAAACCTATTTTGCAACTTGTTATATTTGAAAGTACCTTAAAAATTCTTTAAAAATCATGATAACTCTATCTTCAACTTTCAAAACACCCTAGAAACCTCTAAAAAAATGAAAATCAACCCCATAGAAAAAATAAAAGAATCTCAATCACTTTTTTAGCATGTTTATAAAAAAACATCACCATCATTAATTTTTTTCTCAAGAAAATAAACCCATTAATATCTATAAGGATATTTTTCATGGTGAAGTGTGGTCAAGTGACCCTCTTTCTCTTTTTTTAAATTCAAGATTGATATGTAAAATAAAATAAAATTTTAAATTGAAATGCATGATTGAGAAAATAAAAGCACTGAAAAAAAACCCCGTATTTTAATTGGCAAAGAGAGATTTAAGGTATAGTACTCTTATTTCAAGACAAAATGATGAGTCGTAGAATGTTTTTTCCCCCTTTTCCTTTCCTTAGTAGATTGGAGTTTCCATGTCATTCCTTTAGTAAAATATGTTGCTATCCTACATGGACTGAATTTTGCCTTCAAATGTGCAGTATTGGCAATGATATCCATGAAAGGTACTCTTTTCGATTCCAAGAAAATCCATCATGAACCATGGCCAAGTACACACACACATCCGAATTGCTTATGGTGGATGAAACCTATACCAATGAGAAAGGAGGATCTCGACTCGCCTGGAATCAGCAAACGGGAATATGGTACTTTGATCTGGTGATGGAACAACATTAACACTCAGCAACCAAACATGTTGAGCAATTGACGATTTAAACATCGTATCGGAAATTCCAATAAATTAGCAATACAAACCATTGTTCCACCAACCGTATTTTGTTGGTAAGTGAACAATGTTTTCACCAAGTCTTTTAGGTTTTTGTTAAAGTAAGGAAACTAAAATATTAAATTAAATTCCACACTTCCTTTTCAAACAACCAGCCTTGGCTAAAATGAAATCCCACCATCATTATGATTTTTTATTATATAAAAAAAAAAGATGGAGTTTTTCTTGTTGGTTCTCCTGTTTTCAGTGTTCTATAATAATAATAATGAATTCAAGGAGCTCAAGTTCTAAAAAAATAAATGCTGATGGCATCAAAGATCTGAAAGTTCTAGGGGGAAGCAGTTCCTCTGGAATTTACTCTTGACCATGGGATTCATAATGATTTGTGCGAATGGCTTTCCATCTCGATGGCCATATAGAGCATGGCTAGAGAAATAATGGGGCTTGGTTCGGAGTTCACTTCTTTTTTTCACAAAAATAGTTTGTGAACTCATTTACTTTTGGCATACAGGAATGGTTCCTTGGTCATTTAAACTATCCTGGAAAGGCCGTATTTTCATATAAGATCAAGAAAGTTCTCTGAAACTTACCAGAAACACAGATCAGTCACCACTTATCCATGTGGGACAAGGAAACTTGTTTCTTTCTTACAAAAATAGCTTGTAAACTCACACACATTGCCATAAAGGCACAGTTTTGGTAAATTAGACAACCTGTAAGAGGCAAGCTCGCTTGATCAGGTCCAAATGGCCAAGCAAAATCTTCTTCTTTTTTGGCTTCTTTTGTGATCATTTATTCTTCCCTCCCTTTGATTGTTAGGTAGACAAGCCAGTAAATGTACTAATAAGTTGTGTCTTCAATGAAATTCATAAGTATATATGTAATGTAAGTATGATGTGTGAATGTGGATCTATATATGAAAGCATGTCATGGTAATATTTTATACTTTTCTCTCTTTTTTATGTGTTCTTCCATGTGAGCATGCTGTATGTAGAACCCACCCGAATGCAAGGTTTTAATCCAAACCCCTTCCTATAGGAACTAGGGTATTTGATAACAGTCTGCTAGATTTTATCTCTGCAACTTATCTTTGGATTTACTAAGTTCACAAAGTCTTATATATAATTACTCGTTTTATTCTTGGAAACAGAACAAAATCAAACATTAATTTCCATAAATGTGTTCCAGGAGCATGCTCACATGATCAGTTGTAGACAGAGAGCTCATTTCTGGGGGGAAAAACCTTCCTCTTTGCTGCTAAAGGCTTGATTGCGTGTTCCCTTTGTTGCAAAGTTGGCGTTCCTTCCTCTTTCATTCATGCATGTGCAACACAAGTCGGACCCAAATAAAACCTGCAAAATAATTTCTCTTTAAGGCTCTTCTAACATTCTAAATTTCTAATTTGAAACTCAACATATACTATACAGATGATCGTTCCTTTTTTTCCTAGTCACCATTTTTGGATACCTCCTGCCCTTTCATGCTTAGATGGATCAATAGGCTAATTAACTTTTCGTATCAAGTTTGTAGTGAGTTACAGCAACTTGCCTAAAATCACATCAAACATTAATTTTGGGGATAGTGACATGCATCCACTGGCATGGGTAGATCAAAAGCAAGGGGGATGGGTTCGTGTCATCAAGCTTAGGGCAACTCTTTAAAGTGGACCTAGTATGAAACCAATTGCGTTAAGATATAATACTAAATGGGGAGTTGGTTTCTTCCAAAACCAAATTATTGCTCTTACCCAAACTGGGCATTTAGCCCAATTCTGAGCGGCTCGAAAATCGTTTACACTAGGGCTTCGTGGGTTTTAGTTGTGATTTTCTCCTCCCCATCATTTTACCTGATTACGTCTCCTTAAATCAAAGATTTACTTGTTTTCTTCTTTGCGGAGTAATCCTTTTTATATTTTTTTCATTAATGAATGAGAATTTATAGCAGTTCAATTAGTCTGCACATCCAGCTGCAACATACCAGCACCTAAACAAAACCCTCGCCTGTTGTAGCTCATAAATTTCAAATATATAGAAGCATATAAAAGAAAGTTGTGGTACATGGAACCATATGATAATGTTGGAAAAATTGTTTAAAAAAACCGTTAATAAAAAAATTTGTAGTAAAATTAAAAATGCATTCATTTATTTTTAAATTTAATAATCTCCAATATAAGTTTTTAATATAAAATATTAACATGATTTAAATAAATAATAGATAAATAATAAATTAATCTTAAAGAATTTTGAAGTATCATGTCTTGATGAAACTTAAAATCCTCTAAAAACTTTATTTCATATTAAAAAGAAACAATTTTTTATTATAACTTATTTAGTGGATACAATAAATAAGTTCATTAGCTTTAGATCGGGAGAGAATATATGAGTTTTTAATTTCTAAAATTCTTTATAAAAAAGGGTTACATATGAGTGTTTTAAGGGTGGTTTTTCTACACTATTTTGTACAGAGATATTGAATACTATTTTCAACAAAGTGATGTTATTAAAATTTTGAGAAGTATATTATAAAAGGATTTTTAGTAAGTGAATGGTAAAGAAATTCTTATTAAAGAAATGTTTATGTTTTTTTTTTTTTTGATGATTGCAAGTTATTATATTCTTATTATATTGGATCTTTATAAACTAAATATTATTTTATTTATCCTATTTTATTTTTGAATTTTGGACAACAGATAACACAAAACACCTATAATATTAGAGAAACAATCAAGCAGTAACTTGGTGGATCAAAGTTGTTCTGCCGCCAACAGTTGGATCCACCTTAAGGTTAGTAGTTGAGGAAGATATATCTGTCACACCATGGCTGATAATCTTCACATTGTAGTCTCCATGGGAAAGGGAAGCCTCGAAGAAGCCATTAGCATCTGTCAGGCCCATACGTGAACCCCCCCACTCATGCAAAAGCTTGTCCACGACATCTCCGGTAGCCAAGTTTTTGAAATTGTTATCAGTCAAACCCATGCTGTAACACCCCTGTGGCTTCCATGCTGACCACATCACTATTCCAGCAATTTTTGGGTAAGATGATGCCTCCCTTAGAAATCGCTCCAGGTATATTCCCTGCCCACGAAATTAACAATTAGTTCTTAGATCATAATGGACGATTTAATTTATATTATTAGTACATTTAATCAGGGAATCTAATACAATTGTTTCAGTTTCATTCTTATTTAATTTACTATTTAAGCTTCGATTCCAGAATGATCAGTTATGTTATCTACGACATGAGAGAAGCCTAACCCCTCCAGAACAATTTGAAGATGCACTAAAAGAGGACAGGTTGTAATTTTTGTATCTTAGATCTCTTACCTGCTGAGCTGGGTTGCCTTGAACATCTAATTCTGTGAGCCAAATGGGAACGTTAGCAGAAGCAAGAGTATCAAGGGAAGCTCTCATATAAGGAAGGTTTGGAATGTTAAAGTGAGACTCTAGTCCAATCCCCATGCGCAAATTGGCATTCCCAGGAAAACTCTGGATTTCTTTGAGCTTTTGAAGGTACTTAGCAGGTGAAGCGGCAACATCACCACTCCTTTCAATGGTATAAAACTCGTTCAGAAACAATGTAGTGAGTCCATCAGTCTTACCAGCCCAGTTGTAGATAACTGAAGAAGCCTTCTGTCCTAATTTGCTTTCAACGAAAGAAAAAGGCATATTTTCGTTAACAACGTCCCATGCTATAAGCCTGCCTCTGTATCTTGTCATAACTGACCCTACCCTTGCTTGTACAGCCGTTCGAAAATCATTCGGTGAGAGTGACTTTACCCATCCATTTTGGTACCTAGGATTGTCCCAAATCACATTGTGGCCTCGGACGGCTATATTGTGTTGCTTGGCAAAAGCCAGCATGGCATCAGGAACTGAATAGTCAACATGGCCACGTGTAGCTTCGGTACTGTACCACTTCATTTCATCTTCAAATGTTGTCACTCCAAACCTTGAGGTGAACCAATCTTGGTAGGCAGTGTTGGAGAGGATGTTCTTGTTTATAGCACAACCAAATGGGAAGCGCAGTTTGTTTTGTTTAATGGAGATCGTTGCATTTGAGAGGGGATTGCCTTGTTCGTCTATGGCTTGGATTCTAACCTTCTCATTTCGAGTCTGGAACGAATATATATGTATCCAATTAGGTGCAAAATTGTTGATTCGTAACTAGCCAGGAAAAAATATTGTAAATAAATAAACGATGAAAGATGGGACTATCAGTCAGCTAACCCTTTCAATACTTTGATCTTGATGAGACCTCCATTCTTTCTCGGTGAACGGTTGCAATGAGATGCTATCAACCCATATTTCGACCGAGGTGTTGTTGCTCTAAGAAAAAAAGAATGGAAATCGTAAACAGGTACAGCAATAATAAGACCATAATAATGTTTTAGAAATGAGAGACTGTATCAGTACCTCAAAATATAGCTCAGCAGGGCCGGATGCATCCACTGTAAGGCCACCTTTAAGCATGGACCAGCACTTTGGCTCAGCAAAAACGGAACCAGCTTTTTTGAAGCCAGAATCTGTCTTGAAAATGGCTGTTACCTGAACATTTCCCTCGCTAACTTGTACCCAGGCTGCATTAACTCAAAGCACTATATTAACATGATCAAATCACAAAAGAACAGAATGTTATGCAATTTTCTTTTCTTTTCTTTTCTTTTGTTTTTTTTTTTGGAGAAGTCGCAGACACCCTTGACCCAGTCTTAACCCCTGATGAGACAAGACGTCACAGTGAAAGCAGACTGGTGTTAAGTGCAGTTTAATTAAGAAATCAATTTAGAATTTCAGGATTTCGTAAGCAGTTTCAGCATTTTACTGGTAATAGAATTCTGTTTTTGCCCCCCTCTTTTTCAGGCACTAGCACCACACTGTGAACTTAAAATGAGTTGGGGAGGGGAGCAGCAATGCATACCAGAGCAAGTATAGAGGTGGCTATCTTTCAAGTAAAGCTTCTGTGCCATGCTCCCATATGGATTATCCCTGGAATGAGCCGCACCGTATTTGTTGCCATTGGATTCTCTATGTTCTGTCTTCGCATCTCCAAATGTGGACCATGCTCTTAGTCCATCATTTAGTTCTGGGTTAACAATGATTCCTCCATTATACTGCGGTCTGAGAGGATTTTCCAAACACTGAAATCACACCATCAGACAAAGAGATAATGAATCCTCTAATCACTTCAGATTATGCACAATCTTTGCGAAATAAATAAAAGTTGATCTTAATTTGAGCTTGCCTCAAGGCTGATCGAGTAATCATAGGGTAAGGCATTGGTTAGAAGACCTGCAAAACATGCAAGACGTACATTACGTTATGTGGTGGCAGTAATTCATAAAATATCTTAGAGACTTGGTGTCAAATATATAATTAGGTGCCTTGTTTTCTTAATTTTTGCTGAACAAGCTATAAAAGGTACGTTATATAAAATAAAATAAAATAAAAAAGAGGCTGATATTGTGGATTTACAGCAGATGTTTAATAATGAATTGGGAATACTTCCTTTTCTCCCTAAAAAGAAATGAACAGAACAATCTCTTTGTGAAATAGAGGACCTTCAAGACTGCCTAATATTTTGACTGTACACCTGCTGGTAGCTACATTAATCAAACCATGGAGGAAACAAACCTGCAAAAAGGATAATACTGAGAAGTGGCAGAAGAAGCTGACCACCATTTTCATCTCCTGCCTTCATATTATACAATAGCTAGAGTGTAGCCCTGAAATTCATGAACAATCCCATCAAGATTAACCATGAGATCACGAGTAAAAACAACATATAGATTATTGTTTTGTGCTATAATTTAAATTAAATTAACTTCATGCAAATCATAAAATTAAAATAATTTTATAAAAAATAGATTAAAATTAATTATGAAGTTCAATTTTCAATAATTTAGATGTTGAATGAAGAAATTAAAATTAAAAAAAATATATTGAATTGAATTAACTAATTAATATGCATGTATGTTATGTGAGCGACAAGCATACCAAGTAATGTGATGAGAGAGTTTAAAATTCCAAAAAACAGGCTACACACACATATATATATATATTAGAGTTATGCTGGAAGAAGAAGCCGAAGAATCCTCATCGAATTGAGGGAAGCAAGAGATAAAATTCATCAGAAAAAAAAAAAAGAAATATAATATCTGGGAAGGCGTAAAATATATCCAGTGTATCTAGAAGTTCTTAAAAAGTAATGGCCGAGCCAGATTTGTTTCCCATTTGGTGACTGCTATTACTCTACAATAATCTCCATTATTTTGGTAGACTATAAGATTGGATCTTAGATTTTTAATTACTAAATCAGTCTCTCGCTTCCCATTTATCTCCCTTTCTCCTATTTTAATTATTGGAAAAATCAATCAACAACTCTATTTTATTTAACTTTACGTCTGGAAAACAAATTGTACGTAGAGAAGCTTTGATCTGACTGCCTCGAATCTTCAACAAGGCACTTCCCATGCACCTGACTACACATTGTTTAAATCTTTTTTTTTGTTTTGGATGTATGCATTAGTTTCTTAAAAAGTTTTTTTTTTTTCAAACTGAGATACCTTGAATTTGAACTCCGATATAAATACAGTCAGGTTTTTAATACATGCATAAAGATTTTTTACTATATATGTGTAATTAGTCTATATACACCTATTTCTAGTTTAAGAAATTGTCCATAAAAAAGAGCTAAAAAAATCTTTCACACCCTAAATGATTAGATTGAGCAAAAAAAAAAAAAAAAAAAAAAACAATCATTTTAGGCTGGGCTTGTTCAAAAAAGAGAGTGGGCCTGGTGAGCCCACATGCCTGCCCATATGACCAAGTTGCTTGTATTTAATTAAAATGATTTTCTTGGTATACAGGGATCTAATTGTTATTCTTTTTAATAAAGATATTGAAAATGTACCTTGAATTTGAAAAAAAAGTTGTGTACAAAAAAAAATCTCGAAAAATAATTATTTTTTAATGCTTGATTGATTGTGACATGAAAATAAGTCGTAAATTTCTCAGTAAAAACTTATCTGTATTGAATGACACAGAAACTGAAACCAAATTCGAAACACGAGAGATCTTTTCATCTTCTTTCCACTTTGGTTTCAATTTCTCTTTGAAGCATCCCCCTGTTCATGCAAAGTTCAATTACGTAATATTCTGCTTAGAATTATAAATAATTGGATAAGGGATTTCGAAATCTTGTATTATAAGCTTGAGAAATGAGATTGCTTAATTACTTCACAAACTTTACGTGGAGGAGGAAAACAAATAGAGTTTTATTTCTTTACTAATGCCATTAACAACTCGGGTCTTGAACTTGAATAGCCATTATTCTCTACTCTTGTACTAATTCTCGTTAATCATTGAACTCAGCTCGATCGAGCAACTCGTAAACCCGAAGAGCAACGCCTATTTATACCTGCAAGTTTTCACTGAGCCCCCACACCCCAACCAAAAAAAAAAAAAACGAAACGAAAATGGCCAGAAGGAACAGGTGATGATTTACAGGTGCAGGGCTTATTTTATGTTTTAAAGATCAAGAGTCCGTTTATTTTATGTTTTAAAAGTGCTTTTTAAAAAAATAATTTTTTTTATTTTCAAATCATTTTAATCTGATTATATAAAAAATAATTTTAAAAAAATAAAAAATATTATTTTAATATATTTCTAAATAAAACATATTTTAAAAAATAATTATTACATCTCTTCCAAATACACCCTTCACCATACAAGGAACAGGAATAATCAAGTAAAGTTCTTTACCTGCACGTAATTTCGCATTTGTAAGCAAGCCGCCAAGAAGTATTTTTGCCACTGTAGTAACATGTTGAATTTGAATTTGCACGAACACGCCGGCCCCAATTTTTTATTTTGTGCCAAAGCGCCGACTTCAATAGCAAGCCTGCCCAGTGTGGCCCATTTTGAAAAAACAGGAGGCAAATAGGTTAAGATGACCGGCTTTCTTGTGGCTTGGTGATCTGGTGTTTCCGTGCACAGAGCCCATTAAGTCGTGGGTTCGAAGCAGGTGAGAGAGCTTTCAAGAGGAGAGTTCGGCACTCTTTGAGAATGTGGTTAAAAAAATTTAAAATTTTTTTATTAAAATTTAATATATTTTAAATTATTTTTATATGCTGATATTAAAAATAATTTTTAAAAAATAAAAAAATATATATTAGCATGTAATTTAATATAAAAAATTATTTAAAAAATAATCACAGTTATATTTTCAAAGCTTAAACTGGTGCTACTTTGAAAATAAGTATTTCAAAATATCTTTTTTCGTTTATCATCCATCTCTCTCAAACTGATGTTGAAAATCATTGAAAAAAACACATTTGAAAAAGGAAAATTAGGTGTCATTGAAAAAGGCCGTACGCAGATTTTTCTAATATTAAATATAATAGTGGTGATATGGTAATGGTTATTTTTTGAAGTATATTTTATTTAAAATTATATTAAAATAATAATTTTTTATTTTTAACATTAACACATCAAATAAATTTAAAAATTAAATTTAAAAAAAAAATTGTGAAATGTTATTTGGGCGCGTGCCTAGATGGTGTATTACTGATTAATGCATTGATACAGTCACCGTGCATAGTATAGTAAAATTGATTCAAGAAATTTGATATCAATGATGGATTGGGTTCGGAACTTCAAGATAAATTTGGATTATAACCCATCCTGTTTTACACTGAAGAGGGAGAAATTTCAACATGTTTGTTACTCGAACAAGTAGAAAAGTTTAAGGGTTCGTGACACCGGCCTCGCTTGTGCTTTGTTGGCTTTGATTCATTGATTAACATTCAAACCAACAAGGTAACGGGTTCGATGCCGGTACAATGGAAATGGGAACCTTGAAAGTGGAGATTCATACACAAAATGGAGGTGTTCTAAAATACCTTTTTTCAAAATCATTTCACTTCTTCTTTTTTTAAGTTAGTCAGAAATTACAAGTTAGATGTATTCTAATCTCTTTTTTTACTGGGATTTCTTATTTTTAAACATATGAGATGACAAATAGATGTGTTTCAGCTTATAAATTATATGTGGATTTAAAAGGAAGTTAAATTTTTTTTATGAAATCACCGAGTTATTGATGTTTGGTTCGGCAGGATCCGCCCCAAAGAGCCTTGGTGCCGCAACTCCTTGTCTATAAAAGAAAAATGGAATTTATTACTTTAGTTATTAATAATACATAAGAAATTCACTTGCCATAACTGGTTAAATGGGCAGAAGAAAATACTTCCACAACTAGGACTATTTATCCGGGCCCAAGCCATGAGCTTCGACTAACTTCATAGCACCATGCAAGTGCTAGGCTGCAAGCGCGAGGCTGTTGCAATCTATTTGACAGTCGTACTATCAGTACGTCTTACACAGCACAAGGCAAACCCAATCACCAACATATGCTTTCACTTCATAAAAAAGGAGAAGATTTTGCCCCAGCCTCTTCGTGACACTGAGCTCAAAACGCATGCTCTCGAGACAAGAGAACGAGGCCGATTAAAAAAAACAAAGTGAATGAATAGACGCAAATAGATAGTGCTAGAAAAGGAGGTATTCTAAAATACCTTCCCACCTCCGATAAAACAAGTGCTGCGGCTTTAACCTGCAGGGATTTTGGATCTGTTCAGTGGTATGATCATGGACAGGGACCTGTTAGAAATGTGCAGAAATTGATCCCTTAATGGCCTTGCTACTTGATATAACAAAATCAAAATTATTTAAGATTAGAAAAGGGGTCAAAATCCTTTCACATTCAGCATAAAAACTCCAAAGGGTTTGAATAGGGAATAGCCAAGATAAATGGTTTTAAGAAATGGCACAAGGAATAAACCATGTCAACATTCCAGTCATGAGTTTAACGAGGGAGAAGATCACAAATCCCAAATCTAACAAAGAATAGCAAATATGAATAATATGATTACAGTCAGAGTGTCATCTGTCAAATGCATAGATAAATATAAACTTTTTTATATATTTATTTACTCTCATTGTTGCCAGTAAAATGTTGAGCTACGAAACCTTCTTACGCTGGCTATAGCAATACATAAGAGAAGCTTTGATACCGGCTCGCCTGTAGCTTGTTGACTTTGGGGTTACGCGCTCAAACAATTGGCTTCGAAGGGTTAGAGGACGGTGAGAGCGACAGCGAGATTGCTTAATCAACCAGAAAAAAGGGCATTCCAGAATACCTTTTCTAAAGCTGTCTCACGGTTACCTCCAGAGAAATTCTCGATCCAGGCGGATTGAAAAAGCATCGCCTCAACGAGAACAATCCCTGTCTTGGCCAAAACTAGAAACGAGAAATGAGACTGACAACAGCAGTAAGGCAATACTCCACCTCTGCATATGGAAGCACTATAGGACATCTCATGAACTAGAACTGCTGAACTCGAAATTCCAATTTCTTCAACAGTGTTGTAGCAATTGCAATAAAAAGCGGCAGAGAGAAAAGAAGCACAATCAAATATGAAATGCATAGAAATCAAATAAGAATATACACTCTTATTTTTTCCTTTCTCTCTATTTTGGTGCATAACTAAGTCCCCCATAGAAACATTCTTAAGTATTTTACATATTTCCCGAGCCAGTTCCAGATTAATTAATAAATACAAATCAAAAGAAATGAAATTTCCATCCATGTTGCGGAGGCCAAGAAGGTTTCGTTAGTTAATTGATAAATTAACTAACAAAACACCAAAAGACTAATCGATTTATTTGATATTTATCAACTAGGGAAGCGGGCAGCTTCCTCCATTGCTAGTAGTACTCCAATAACAAAGGCATCATGACTGAGAGTCGTGATCGCAGCAGCAATTTTATGCTTGGAGATATCCTTTTACCTCCAAGTAAGAAATCACCTTCTCAGCCATGTCACATGGGGTAGAACAGTCTCCTGTGTTGCATTGCAATACTATCTGAAAAAACTTTAAGCAATAAATACCATATATTGATGATATGCAAGAATGTTACAAGCTAAAAGAAGAATTAAATAGTGATGGTGGTACAAGAAATGTAAGAGATGAGGAGGAGACAACTAGGCTTCTTCACAGCACATTGGTAAATACCAATGCGAGCCAGCTACATAACTGTAACAACAACAGAATAGAGGTGATCAAGGTAAAGTTTTGTTATTCACCCTACTCTGCACCTTCTGCTATTAATATAACAAATTCTAACAACAGATTTCTTAAACCACTCATGGAATGTGAAAGTCCTAATGTAGTAAGCATGCTTCTATAATGTTCTCTTTATTAAGTCAACCATTTTCAGCAACAAAATATATCCCACGAGCAACCCACATGCACAATATAAAGAAGAGTGTTGGTTAATTTTTTATAAGAACTCGCAAATTAGCATTCTTTCTCCGCATGGCTTTTTATATAATCTGAAGACAAAACCAAATGAGTGATTAAACACATGGCAATTCATGCACTGAAGTAAATATCACTATTGCTTTCTTGATGCTTTAGGCAGAACCAAATTAGGAGTGCCGCAATTTCTGAGTTTCATCAATCATCCAAATGAAAGAAAAAAAGCACATTGCATTCCCCTTAGCGACGAATCATGCAGGTGTATATGAATGTTAGTGCATCCGTGAGCATTTATCCTGGCCAGAATATTTTGTTTTGCTCCGTACAATTACCTCAGCATCCAATGGTGGTTCATATGGATCATCAATGCCAGTAAAACCTGTAAGATATAAATGAATGTTAGAACTCTTAATAGTTAAGTAAGCCAATAGAACTCGGTTGCATTGCAGTTCCCTAAGAATACCTTTGATCTTTCCAGCACGAGCAAGCTTATACAAGCCTTTTGGGTCTCTGTTCTCACAAACTTGGAGGGGAACATCCATAAACACCTGTTAATAAGCTCTGTCAGGCATGATTAGCAACATGAACAACATCTGAAAGTCAGATCCAAAACTAAGAAGCAAAAGGAAAGAAAACAAAAAACTACAATAAAACCCAACTTGCTGCACTTGTAGTTTGAAAAATAAGTCATAAGCTGGCGAAGCACCAACCTCAACAAAATCTTCGCCTGGTAACATTGCACGACATTCAGCCCGGTCCCTTCTGTATGGAGAAATCAGGCAGGCGATGCAAATAAATCCAGCATCTGCAAAAAGTTTTGCTACCTCCCCTGAACACAAAAGAGGCAAATTATAAAATTTCATACTCAATCATCCAAAAGTCCATGATTGTAAATTACTATTAATCAACCATTATTAAGTGAGTAGACATTCCAACTGTTGCACTCGCACGTGATGGTATAGCAAGTAATTCTTTACAGAAAAATCAAAAGACGAAAACATTTAATACAGGACTTACCAACTCTCCGTATATTCTCGGCACGGTCTTCTGCTTTAAAACTAAGGTCACGATTTAGGCCGTGCCTGATGTTGTCGCCATCAAGAATGTAAGACAAGTTTCCTCTCTGGTACAACATGTGACTCAAGGCACATGCTACAGTGCTCTTCCCTATCAATTGAGTTTCAGGGCATAAGAAGGCATGAAAGAGATATAGCAAGAGGAAGAAAAGGGAGAGGACTAAATACACAAGTTGTCTAGAAATCTACAACTTCTTTCCTATAGTGGCAATAGAAATCCAAAGGCAACCAAAAAATAAAAAACAGAATCAACGCGACACATGCTAAGCTTCATGTCTGTTTGTGTGAAAGCACTTAATCAGCAAAATTTAAACAGCATCCTTTGATTCAAAAAGTCAGAACAACAAACACACCACGGGAATTTAGGCCAAAAATAGTAAACATGTAAAGCACTATTGATTTAAATCAAACAAACTTGGTCAAAATCAGTTGACAATCAACCCAATTTTATTTTGAAGGAAAAAACGAAAAAACAAGAAGAATTCAATGAAGGAAGAACAACAAACCTGAACCACTGAGACCGGTGATCCATATAACACAACCCTTCTGTTTGAGAAGCTTCTGTCTGTCAATTTTTTCAACAGGGCATTCATGCCACTTTATGTTTGTTGAGTTTCCTATTGTAGACAACTGGTTATGATTTTTGCCTATCCAAAACCCATGTCAAGAATCAATTCAAAATCCAAACTTTACAAAGAAGAGCAAGAATCCATTCGATAAATCCCAATCGCAATTAATACCTTAATTAACACACTTTCCAGTAAAAAGGACATCAAAAGTCAAACACCGTGGAATCTTTTACCTTTTCACCAGCTAAACTTTAATAAACTGGCTGGAATCCAATTACAATTATAAAACAAGTATTAAACCCAGTAAAGAAAGTTACCTGCGTGCGCATTTGGCAGCTTATCCTCCACCATGCCATTCACATCCAGTTTAAGCGTCCGAGTCTCTTCCATGGCAGCCTTGATCAGGCAAACCCCTCTCGGTTTCAAATCAAAGGGCTGATTACCGCCACTGAAGCTAAAAAATCCGAGCCTTTTCGAGCTCGAAATTCCAGGCAGTGCTGGCTTAAACCCGGAAGCATTCATCTCTCAGACAAATAATTAATATACATATAAAAATGTTATAAACGTTAGGAAGGATACTGTATATTGGAAAATCGGGGTGCGATGAGTTGAAAACGGGGTTGTTGAACACGACAGTTATAGAAGTTTTGTGAAATGTGTAAATTATGGAAAGAAAAGAAGACAGAAAGGAATGAAAGTGGTTTGATATTTTAATGATTTATTGAGGCTAATAAAAATACTGACACGACATCCTGATTTTTAATGGACATGGGATTGTACTTTTAATAATTGAGTTTTGTTTTCGACAGCTATAATAGCCACTGCCCACTAGCCGTAAATATTTTGGTTTTGATAGGGTGTTTTTTTAAAAAAAAAATGATAAGGTTAGGTAAGTATTTTGGAAGAATAATATCGATTTGGGAATATTTAGAAAATAATAAAGTTTTTAACTCAATCATTTTTTTAAATCAATTCTGCAAAAAATTATTATTAAAAATGGTGGTCCAACACAAACATGTTCTCTAATATTAATTACATACACAATATGAGAATAACAATTATGTAATGATTTTTTTTCAAAATAATTAATTTGTTCAAATTCAACTTAAAATTTTATAAAAAATTAATATTTAAGAAATAAAATTCAAGATCTAATAACAAAAAAATAAAATGACGAGGAAAGTAAGAAAAAAAAATTATCAAGAATACATCAAGAATTTATTTTTAACATATTTAATATCACTATAAAAATATAAACGAAATAATTTTAGCTGTATCTTTAAAAATTACTAAATAAAATCATGATTAATCTTAATATTTAACTCACATAGATTTTTAAAAAAATTGAATCAAGTTTGTAATTTATCAAATATAAAAAATTGAGTCAAATATAATTATAAATCTATACTTAATTTAGCTATATAAATGAATACCCTAATATTTGAAAAGACTTGCCTTTTCTTCGAGATTTTTTTAATCTAAAGAGCATGTTTTATTAAAATACAACCTCTATATAAATAAATAAATAAATATATAGCCAAAGGGAGAAACTGCAAAACCTATTAAAATAAAGGATGCACTAATACCATCAACGCATCCTTTTTATTTTTCTTTGGGGGGCACGGTGAGCTAAAACCATCGACGCATCCTTTATTTATTTTTTTTAATTGAGTTATTATGAAAAAATAAAATTCTGCTGTATGGTAGAATAAAATTGGACTCCATGAGCCTGAAATTCCTATACCGGGCTGTTGAGAACTGTATTTTAAATAATATTTTTAAAAATTTTAATTTTTTATATTTTTGAATTGTTTTAAAATGTTTATATTAAAAATAATATTTTTTAAAATATTTTAATTTTGTATATTTTATAAAAAAAATTACTTTAAAAAATAATTACTAGCACATTTTTAAACAATTGTTGCCGATATACACTCTTTTTAGGATTGTATTTTTTACTGTCTTTTATAACCAACAAAAATTTGAATGATACTGAGATACTTAATTTTTTTATTAAAATTATTCAAGATACTTGATTTTTTATTGATTTTCTGTGTTGAGTGACATAATATAACATATTTGATATTTTATTATTCATTTAATTTTGTAATTGTAATTACTTTATTAGATATAGTAATATTTACGTTTGAAGTTTTTTTCTTGCAATAAATGTCGAAGCAAAACTTGACAGGAAATAAAAAATTAATGCCCCTAGAATTGCCCTAGAAAATTTATATACATGCTCCCTTTAGTCCGATGGTAGAAAGATGGCTTGCGTTTTGTAGCGGCCAGGTTAACTCTCCTTTTAATTTCAAAAAATAATATTTAAATATTATTATTGCATTTTAAAGTATGAAACAAACTTAAAATTCAAGTTATAAATCCTACTAGATTCAATAAAATGATTTAGCTTCATTGTATAATAAGAAAGACAATGACAATAAATTTACCATATCTAAAGAGAAAAAGTGGCATCTATGGAGAAAAAAACAATCTTTTTTAAAATGAATTACAAAGTTATATTCCAAGATGATTCATCATTAAAGGATAAAAATAAAAATAAAAATGAGAGTCTCAAATCAATTGAAGCTAATATGAAAAATTCACAACACGAAACATGAGATTTGTTCATCCTTATGCAAAAAAGTAAATTGAAAATAAATAAAAACTTATTTTTTAATAAATTTAATATTAAATAAAAAACAAAAAATTATTTAAAACGGGATAAAAAAAACTACTAATATAAATTTGAGTTAATATTTCATACTCTTGATTCGAGTTATGAAACTAGAATTAATAAGTGGAGAAAGAAATATAAAGACCAGTTCTTAAAAATTTAATATTGAAGAATAAAATTAAAAAAAATAATTTAAAAAAATACCCAAAACAAAAGAAACAATTAAAAAATAATAATAAAATCTAACATTAAAACAAAATAAAATAAATAATATAAAAACTCGAATCAATTCAAATTAGCATAGTTAACTCATGCCATAAGTTGCAAGATTGGCTATCATTATAGAAAAAAATTGAAAAAGATAAAAATAAATAAATTTTTAACAAAACTAATATTGAAGTATAAAAAATTAATAAAAAAAGATTAAAATAATAATAAAAAAACAAATAGCAATTTGAGCTAGCATTAATTTAATAGAAAACTTAATTTTTAGTAAACTTAGCATTAAAAATAAATTTTTTTTAAAAAAACCAATGTAAAAAAACCATATCAATATCAATCTAGATTAACATTTAATACCCATGCATCATGAAACCTAGATCATTATGCCAAAAAAAACATAAAGAATTCAATTCTCAACCAATATAACAATAAAAATAAAAAAATAAAATCAATTTTAAAAAAGATTAAAAGAAAAAAACTCAAATATAATATAAGAATAAAATAAAATGATGATTGGTGAGATTTGAAAACAAGTTTATCTAGGAAAACAATATCATATAAAATCAAATAATAGAGAATAAAATAAAAAATTATAAACAAACAAAAACTATAAAAAAATGAAAACTATAATTAGATAAAAAACAAAATAAAGGGATAACTTCTAATTTTAACCGAAGCAATATAGATCTGAAAGGAGAATGGAGGGGGGGTAAAAGATTTCACTATCACCGAACGGTCGTTGAGATATTTTATTCATAAATCTCAATCAAGAAATATAGCCGCTCTCAAAGCAAGCGACATTTTTTATCCTTGTCGACATCTCTAGCCTATTCATTTCATGCCCAACAAAATTATATTACGCAATAAATAACCAATCAAACATCTTACCAGTTGCAAGTATTGTGAAAGTTACGGAGTCAAACAATTAATTATCTGGAATGTATTTTCCCTCCCAAAAGGCAGGCAACAACACGTCATCTGTTCTCCATGCAAGCCCTAGGGTGTTTTATGACAGGTTCATGTCCAGGCTACATATAAAAGGCGCTAATTAGTAATCTTCCACTCCTGCATTTCATTGTGAAATAAAAAAAAAAAACACTGAATTTTGAGAGGCATGGCTTAATTTATCATGCTTTGAATTTCCTTTCTGAATCATTAATTATAGTTTCACAAACTCTATTAATTTAATTTTTATAAATTTTAAATTCATTAAAAATTTATATAACTATTAATTTTAAAACCTGTAAAATTATTTAATACACGCATAAATTAACTTGAATATCCATATTAATCTAAAAAATTATTACATTGCATCATTTACACACAAACTGGATGTCATGCCCGTGCAATGCAGCAAGCTCGTGGCATACTTGTGTGTTGTCATGGGTTTATAAAAAAAATCATAAAAAAATAAAATAAAAATATATAAAGAAAACTGTTGCAATCCATAATATTTTAAAATAAAAAACTATAAATTTAAATTGTCAACCTGATTAATATTTTAAAAAATAAAATAAAAAATAATTTTGAAAAAAGTCATAATAAAAAAAACGAAAGAAAAAACCATGCAGGGAAATACTGGTATTTCATGAAAAAATTTACAGTTGTAATTCTCAACCAACTTAATATTAAAAATAATAAAATCGATAAAAATAATTTTTAAAAATAAAATAAAAAATCACGTGGGGACACTGTAGCAATTTATAATGCTTAGAAAAAATATGATACTAAATTCTCAACCAACTTAATATAAAAAATAAAATCAACAAGGATAATTTTAAAAAATATATAAAAAAATAACTTTGGAAAAAAAAGAAAAAACACGTGGGGAAAATTAAAGTTAAATTCTCAACTAGTTCAATGTTAAAAAGAAATCAACAAAGATAATTTTAAGAAAAAACATATGAAAAAATACAATAGCAAAATAAAAATCAAGTCAAACCGGTTTGAACAGGTTTTTTCCTTAAAAAACTGAACCGAACCGAATTGGAACCGGTCGGTTTTATCCGGTTCGGTTTTTTTTTTTAAAAAATTTCAGCTTAGTTATTTTTTTTGATAAAAACCAAACCTAACCAAAAATAAATACTCCTAACCAATTCAATGAAAGAAATAAAATTGATAGAGATTATTCTTATAAAACATAAAAAATATTATTAAAATTTCTCGTATATTTTAAAATATTATTTAATATAAAGGGCGATTAAATTAACCCTAGTTTACCATGCCGGTCACAATATATTAAATTCCTGGAGAGATGCTTGACAATTTAGTTGTTAGGGAATAATCCATATAGAAATTGTATTTAACTATTTATCGATGAAAAGCAAGTAATTCATATTGTAAGGAAATCCTGGAAGAGGAATCTAATCTAGATCTCGTGCTTTACTTTCGGAAGAAACTCAAAACTCAAAAAATAAAACTAAAGAGAAACTATTCCCTGCTGATGCCCAGAAAGGTTGAAACACTGAAAAAACAATCTTTAAAAACTGAATAGTTTGAAGCAAACGAGGAATTGCAGAAGAAGATGAACCTTTATTTTTAATTCCTATTAAGCACTGGAATTATGAGAAAATAAACAATAATTGACATTTTACGGCCCTAGCTTAACAATTTTAAGACATTGTTTCGTGTTACGGTTTATACATGTTTTTATTTTAAATTATTTTTTTTGTATTGTGTTTTCAATTATTTTTATGAGTTAATATTAAAAATAATTTTTAAAAAATAAAAAATTATTAATTATTAATTTTGAAATAAAAAGTCTCTCTCCCCTATGCACATGGCATCCACCCA